TGACCTGCTGGCCACGCTGCTTTGGATGCAGCCCAGGACACGGTTGGCTTTCTGGGCTGCAAGCGCACATTTCTGGGTCATGTTGAGCTTCTCATGAACTAGCACTCCCAAGTCCTTCTCCTCAGAGCTGCTCTCGATCCATTCTCCACCCAGTCTGTATTTGTGCTTGGGATTGCCCCCACCCAGGTGCAGGACCTCGCACTTGGCCTTGTTGAACTTCATGAGATTTGCACGGCCCCACCTCTCCAGCCTGTTGAGGTCCCTCTGGATGGCATCCCTTCCCTCCAGCGTGTCAACTGCACCACACGGCTTGGTGTCATCAGCAAACTTGCTGAGGGTGCACTCAATCCCACTGCCCATGTCACCCACAAAGATGTTAAACAGCGCCAGTCCCAATACCGACCCCTGAGTTGTGCCACTTGTCACTGGACATTGAGCTGTTGACCGCAGCTCACTGTGTATGATGTATCTGATAACAGAGGTGTAAGTAAAGTAACATCTGCTGTAGGATGTGGTTTTAATTACATCCATACGTATAGAAGCAACAGTCAGCTCACAGGAAACATTGCAACTGGATGCTATGTTAAGTTCAATGCCTTTAGGAATTTTCAAGCAATTTTCAACAAATTTCAAACAATTGCCAGAAATGCTAAAGCATGCCACTCTTACACGTGAAGTCTGACATGTAGTATAGAAGCCACAAAGGGAGAGGTACACCAAACAAATCCCCAAGTAAACCACATCAGTACCTAAATTCAAAATGCAGTGGAAGTGCCTCTCAGAGTGATTTTCCTCAACTAGAAGAGAACTTGGCTTTACATCCTACAGTCATCATTTTAATCATCATACTGATTTTTCTTAGCTATAAAAATCAAATGTTAAGTATGTTATGGTTATACATAACAATCAAGAACTAAAGATTACTCTCAGACTTGTACAAGTTATCTCAAGGTAAGATCAGACAGAAAAGAGTGAACACCTCTGAGATCTGCTGCCCGATCAGTAGCCTCAAGATGTAGAAGGGTTGCAACATCCATTTCTGAGTTGTAAAAAGTGTCTGTAAAGTGGACAAACCAAAGGAAGGATTATGGCCCTGTAGCCCCACAAATATGATTTTGCTATCTCCAGCATGCTAATAGAACAAAGACATCATACAAGGCAACTAAATCTCACATCTGAATTGAAGAGGTATTTTGGGGTTTTTTAAGTGCCAAATTCTGTAACAGTGAATGTCATAGAATTATAGAATCATTTGGGCTGGAAAGGACCTTTAGAGGTCATCTAGTCCAACCCCCCTGCGGTGAGCAGGGACGTCTCCAACTAGATAAGGTTGCTCAGACCCCCATCCAGCCTGACCTTGAATGCCTCCAGGGATGGGGCTTCCACCACCTCTCTGGGCAACCTGTTCCAGTGCTTCATCACCCTCATTATAAAAATTTTTTTCCTTATGTCTAGTCTAAGTCTACCCTCTTTTAGTTTAAAACCATTACCCCTTGTTCTGTCACAGCAGACCCTGCTAAAAAGTCTGTCCCCATCTCTCATACAGGCCCCCTTCGGGTACTGGAAGGCCGCAATGAGGTCACCTCAAAGCCTCCTCTTCTCCAGGCTGAACAACCCCAACTCTCTCAGCCTGTCCTCATAGGAGAGGTGCTCCAGCCCTCGGATCATTTTTTCTCCAACAGGTCCATATCTCTCCTGTGCTGAGGGCTCCAGAGCTGGATGCAATACTCCAGGTGGGGTCTCACCAGAGCAGAGCAGAGGGGCAGAATTACCTCCCTCGACCTGCTGGCCACACCTCTCTTGATGCAGCCCAGGATGCGGTTGGCCTTCTGGGCTGCGTGTGCATTCGTACATGAAATTAAACTTTTTTGAAAAAATACTAGATCTTGACTTTCTCTTGTGTAGAGCTACGCTGTCTTCCCATATGGACCTCCACTGGTAAGATTTGCAGGCTCGTTTAAGTGCATAGCACTGATTATCACCCCTTCACTTGAAGTAAGTAGCAACAGCAACTTTTTAGCTGCTGTATGATCTAGTTGCCAGGCTGGTAAAAAAAACCAAAACTTATTTTACCTGTGGTTTACACAACTCTTAGACTCTATAAACTACTTAAAATTAGTAAACTGCCTATTTTAACAGTTCTAAGTGGCAATGCATCAGTGTGCACAAAGACGCATAGATTTTATAACTTCATCCTGAAAAGAAGAGAGACACAAGCGTGAAATCTTCCTAGACTTTAATCACAAATAGAATCACAAAGCATCAATTCATCAATTCAGCTCAACAGATTCCCCTTCATTTTACATCAGACATCCTACCCACTGCAAAATGGTGTAAACCTTCAAAGACTCTATTAATTTTCACTTTACAATATCTTAGATACCCAGAAGAACGGCGCTCTTCTTGCAAATCCACTTGTACATGGAGTGGCAGTTATCAGCATGGATTTCTGTCAACTTATAGGCAGCACATTTTTCTTCTTCCTTCCTTCCTTTTATTGTAAAACTGCAAGAGCCAAAAACCACACAGATATGTAGACAATTGAAAAAAATTGTTTGCATATACAAACAGTGAAACCACAAAGACTGGATTTTTGTGTCTTTATGCTGTTATTCTTTTGATTCTCTGACATCCAGGCAGGTTATATTTGTTTAGTAAGCTTCAACTTTTCTCTGTTTCCCTACTTGTTATGCAGTTGGAAGCAAAAGCCTTACACAGCATAGGCAGCTCCTAATAAAATTAGTTCCTTTTCTGAGAGCTGTCAAGGAGTTTTACTTTTCAAGTGCATGTTTTGATCTGAATTCTATACTGAGAAAAATCAGAATAGGCTGAGCTGCCTAACTGGAGTATGGGCCCTGATATCTTACTATGACTTTCTCACAGTCTAACCGCTGAACAGCTCAGGCACAATGAGTAGAGAACACGTCGTGCAAGCCAACACAGATTCACTCCAGAATGAACCTACCTGTGCCCTGGATGTCTGGGATCATTGAGCCATACCCATCTTCCTTCCTCCTCATCAAAGCTTAATCCAGTCCAAACAAAGCCAATGTCTTTATCCTTCAGTTTGTTTAAGAAATCCTAGAGAGAGGTATGTCTTTGAACTCTCATAATAATGACACTTCATAAAACACCAGCACCAGTAATGTATAGTGGTAATTAATATTTTAAAACCAGCAAGGCTTTCATGCCCAAAGATTCCAGAGAATGTTTCCAAGAAATTGAGAAGAAAGAAAAAAAAAACCACAAAACAGCATGGAAATTAGTTCAGATTCTCAACTATACACAGTACCTTGGCTAATGATGGTAAGCGGAGCAACCAAGGAGCTATCTTTGGCTCCTTGCTGGCCCCAGGCCCATTCCACTAGCACATTTTAGATGAGGATCAGGCTGATCTGAATTACAGGAGCTGAAACTATCTCCTCTTTTTTCCCCCTACAGGGAAGACAGGTGATCATTTTGCCAGCTCACCCTCCTGGGTGCTCTGGAAGTGACTGTCTAAACGTGGTCACCTTTAAGCAACATCAGGAGCACGGAAGAGACATGCTACAGGTTAGGATTTGGTCCACAGAACTGTTTTTTCTATTGCCACAGACCTGGTACTGACGTTTGAAAATGTACAAAGTACAGAAAAATGGCTCCATCCCCCAAAGAAAGGCAACAGCCTTTATGACAGCTTAGTTCTGAATGGGTTTGATTTGGAATAAAACATGCAAGAATCCTTCAAATACCAGCTGCTTCTTACTGGAGATAATCTCTAGACATATTGTTGTACCTATTCAAATGAAATGTAGTTATTGGTCTTCTGTTTGACACAAACGTTTCTTAACATGCAGAAAAGCCAGTCATCAGAGCACTTCCACTGGCAGTGCCTTTTATGAGTGTATCTGGATTAGAAATGGCTTCTAAAAATACATGGAAAGCTATGCTTTGATATGTGGATTCACAAGGTATAAGTAAAAAGGATATTTAGACTATAGAGTGCCTTACAAGCTTACCATTTCGGTCTCGGCCTCTATAACCAGGAGCTCAGTTTTTTTTTCTGAGCAATACTTTTTACTATTCTCCCAGGTGTCACGAGTTTCTGAGTAGAAATAACATCTCCCGTAATGCAGCTTCCAGCCAATGGGGCAGAGTTCACATCTGGAGTCTGTGAAGAGTTTGAAGCAAAGAGATTTTTATCGCTTCTTTTTATTATTTTTTTTACAACTGACATCATTATTATTGGCTCCTGCTTTTTCTGCGGCTTTTGAATAAGAGAGTAAAGAAGCTTTAAACTAGGGACGGGGCAGAAATTGTGATGGTTTAACTCATTTTAAGAAAGCACATTGTCCCTGCTTTAAAGTGATAATAAGGATAGTCATTCTTTAATTAGGGATCACTCTGTGCCATTAACTATTTCAGAACTCTAGATAATTGTACTAAATATTTTACATAATAATTGGGGTAAAAGGCATGGATAAAATCCCAGCCCTGCTGAAATCACTGGCAGTAGTACAATTCAACAGCATCCATGGAGAAATAACAAAGACCTTCAGTAACACTGCTCCACTTTTATTTTTTGCTTAAACTAAAATTTTCAAGGATGGAACTCTAAAATAGATCACTTTATACATCTTTATCAATATAAACATGCTTATTCTGCTATCAAAAGGTCAATTCCTTTGTGCAGGTGTTTATTTTTATATTGACCTTTTCAAGAGCTTCAAATCATTTATGCTATTAAGAGCGAGACTTTATTTCCTTACCATTTGTATGCAAGCATAAGCTTTCCTTTAATGTCGTCAGTAAGCTGTTTTCATGAAGATCTTCCTCAAAGATACTGTCACTTCCAGAAAGATTTTTTCTGAGCTTCCACATGTCGCCTGATAGCAAGTCACCTGGACAAGAATCTCCAACATTTTAATGGGAAGCTCACAAGTGAACTGTATAGAAACCCCGTAGTATTTTTCCATGGATAATAATAGGAACTTTAATTGGAAACTCAGATTGCTCATTTGTCCTTCCAGTTCTCCTCTAAATGGTAGGTGGAGCGTTGAGCATCCAAATCTTATACATGAAACAAATACATGAGGTGACTGACATCACAAAGACATGTGGAGTCCATTATCATCATGCTTTTGACAATGTGGTATGCGACAGTTGTTTTTGAAATAACATCGTTGTGCTTTTGATTTTCCAGTTCCTGAAATTTCTATTGAGCTTATTTCAGAAAAGAACAGGCTCATCTGAGAGGGCAGGACTCACATCGAGAGAAAGGGAGAACAACTGACTCTGCAGGATACATATGCCCAGAAGTGCTTCTGAATTCTCATTCTCTCCTGTGTTCTCAAGTGGTTTTGATGTCCAGAAGCAGGCTGAACATTAGGACTACCGGGCCAAGATTTTCTAAAGGAGGAAACTAAAATTAGGCTCCTTGATCAATATTCAGATGCTTGTTGATGGCAACCTAAAAACTTGTACAGCTTGCTTGACCAAGGCAACTGCAACCATTTCTCTCTGATCTCTAAGTTTAGATGCTGAGGGATAAAGGCACACAGCTGTGCTGGATAGGTAAGCTCTGCACGCACATGATCAATGCTGGCAGTGGCCCAGTGCTTATGCACAAATTCTATGGACAATGCAAAGGCAACTTTTATAAACTTAGAGGCACTTCCAGCCTTCCAGAAGTCCAGCTTACGTTCCCATTGTACATGTCAGGGAGGACTGGCTGAGGCTTAAGGTAAGCAAAACAGGGCATCAGGAGGTGAAGACTGACTGTGAGGATGAGGGGACGAGGAGACAGCAGAGATTCCTGTTGTACCATATACCTGGAGTGAGTTCTGTTTAATTACTAAAAGAGTTTTTCCAAACTGATGGATGGATGGATGGATTCTTTGGCTAGAAACCTTGGTGGATTGTTCAATTTTGGAAAGGAATAGGAGGGACTCTCAGGCTGGGGGACTGGAAAGTAAGATTCCAGCCCTCTTCGTACAGCCTGAACATGCAACTGTCCTCTGAAAACCACTGACCTTCTGCAGATGCACAGCCCCAAAATGCCCGTGACTCCCTCCCATCTTCTTCAGAAACACAATAGTAGAAAGCATGAGTGGTCTTGTCACCTTATCAAAACAGTTTGTTTGCAAAACTTGTTTAAGTTAAGGATTGATACCTGTCAAATTCACAGGAATTAAAGCAAAATATTTTCACTTGGTCACTCACATTGCTGAATTAATGTGATCACAGCTCCCAGAAATACAACATTCAGAAATCCTGAGAGAGCAGCAAGATACCGCAAGCCTGAAGAATTAGAGGGAAGTTCTGCAAGAAATAAGAGGGTTTTACAAACACAGCATGAATTGCTACTCAGGACATAAATCTGGGTTTCTCTAGACATCTGTCAGACAGAACATCCATCACCGTCACTTTGTTGTGTGCTTTGTCACAGTTGATTTTTCCCTTCTGGTTGCTTCCTGCATGTCAAGTGGTTCTTGCTTCTAATAAACTTTCATTTATGAAAACTTTTTGTGGGCTTGAATTTTCTCATGCTATCTTCACTGTTTGACAGTTCTTTTGAGGTTTTCCATGGTTACTGAACAGTTTTTACTTCTTCATAGCAGGAGAATGTCACTTGCAGATATCATGAAGACTGTTAGATGTCACAGCAAGCACTTAACAAACATTGCTAAAGAAAAGCTCACAAACTTAGTGAAAGAAGAAGTTTCTAACAGTTGCAGAGAAAGAGATGTATATAACATGTAAGAACAAAAATGAGGTTCTAGGCCTATGAATACCAACACTATCAATCAAGAAAGGACCAGTAGATTCTCTGAAAATTAAATTCTGTAGCGCCAGGACCCAGACTCACTAATTAGTTTTATCACCTATACACTGGATGCCAAGTCAAAGGCCTTTAGAAAAGGCCACATCATCATTTGGAGATCTGGGTTTTTTTATTAAGTCCTTGAAGCTCAGCCAATCCCACCTGGAAAATTACTAAAATATGTTTGAAAAATTAAATAGCAGTGCATTAAACAGGGCTTGTTTGCAGACTGGATGCTTGATTAAGGTCAGTGAATAGAGATGCAAAAATGAGCTCCCTTGCAACTCAAATAAGTTTACTTTTAATTAGAATCAGAAAAGCCTGGCAATGCACAGTCGTGGTGAATCTTCCTTCTCAATATTACCCAATGATCTTAAAATTTATTCTTGTCGGACTGTCATGCTCCTACCCTACCATTTCCTGTTTGCTCACTCACTTTATTTCAGGATTTCTACATATCTTGACATAGGAGCACAGAACTATGTAGGCTAGAAGGAGTGTCAGGAAGCCATCTAGTCCAGACTCCTGCTCAAGGTGGGTCAGGATACAGCAGGTTTCTCAAGGGTTTGTCCAGCCAATTTCTAAATATCCCTAAGGATGGGGATTCCACAGCCTTTCCAGGCTCCTGTCCTAGCATTTGACCACCACCATGGTAAGAAAAATTTTCTTACATCAAATTGTAATCTTCCATGTTCCAACTTGTGTCTTTCAACGTGCACCTCCAAGAAGAGTTTGATTCTCTCTTCTCTACACCCTTCCATTCGGTAGTTAAAGAGAAAGTTAAGACTCCGTTCAGCCTTCTTTTCTTAGTCCTGCACAAAGCCAATTGTCTCAGCTTCTCCTCCTGTGTCACTTCTCCAGCTCACTCACTATCTCAGGAGCCCACCACCAGACTCATTCCAGCAGGTTGTCAGTGGGCTTTTGGAAGGGGTAGTGATATAGTTAATGTAGGCTGCAATACAGCAAAGTTTTTTAAAATAACTGAGGCATAAAAGATGTTCTACGATACCTCAAAGGATTCCTTAGGGCAGGGAGGAGAATAGAAGTTGCCCAGCTATGTGGGAAATGTTATTTTTTCTTCCTAGCTTTCTAATATTGGTGTTTTCAGGAAATACTTTGTGAATGTCCTTCTAGAAAGACCAAGGCACAATGAATCAACTGTTTGAAAAGTTCTCGGCTTCTATGCTATTATTTCAAAACTGTACTGCATGGAGCTGTATTTCAAATCATGAAATGACTTGAACTTTGTGCTACATGATAAGCTCGTTTCCACTAACAGTTTCACTTCCTGTCTCATTTCTAGCTATCATTGTTTTGCACAGAGGTCAAACATCATCTTTTCTTATTTGCCTATTCAATCATACTTACTTGGGAAATGCTGTATCTGTGACTAGCCGTCTTTAAACATTCAAACAGCTAATCCCCACTGCCTTCATATTGCCACCCTGTTTAGATGGCAAATACATGTAAGCAGAATGCAGTCCTTTTTGCTAGCTATGCAACATGTTATGGTTAAGCATCTGTGTGTGTTTTCCTTCTTCCTTTGGGTGCTACGCAGTGATTTTGACACAAAAAAGGCAATTAGGAAATCTGGGTTCTAATCTTAACTCTGCCATAATTTGCACAATGGCTAGACTGCAGGCAAAGCAGTAACAGTGACTTGTATAAATACTCAGATTAGCACTCTGGTAACAGCAATGCCACAGTGCTGACAACGTCACACGGGCTCACAGCTCAGCGGTTGTCCACCTTCTCAAGACAGCGCTGCAGCTTACACCACCGACAAGACTGGATGGGACTGCAAGATGGAAGGGAAGCTCTACATTGGGGTCTTCTTTCTCTACTACATGAACTGGCACAGATATTGCACTAGGTTATGCCAACGCAACCACTTTGAACCAATCTGTTGTTCAAAAAGCAGATTTGTGCCTGGCATGCAATAAGCTAATTCCACACACTCAGGAGAGATATTGTATTTATTCAGGACTGGGTACTTGGTGGACTTTTCTGCAAATCAAGCCCACCAACAGCAGTTACAGTGTTCCTTTTATACACAAAATCAGGAATCAGTATTTTTCCAGACATGTCTGCTAAATAGTGACTGGTTAGAAATTTACATACAATTACATATTCATTCATACACATGCTCAGGGAAAGCATCTTCACCAGGGCAAGGGTCTTCTTGACCTGTGGGTGTGATTTTTAGTATTATAATGAAGGCAGTTCACTTCAGGACACCTTAAAACCTAGTGTCATTGCCAAGTTGGTTAATCAAATAACCACTTTGCCAGGTTGTCACATAACTTAGCCATGCTCAGAGGCTTAACACAATCCATCCTGGGTGTTCTCATCAATTTCCAGGACTTTACATACCCTAACTGCCTTCATGAATCCCTTCTTGTTAATCAAAGTTATCTGGGCCAGTATACAAAATCAAGGAACCATCAAAGCCTTGTAATTATTAACTACGGTTACCAGTACCAAATGTGATATACATTAGATCAACTCCAGTGAATACACTTCTGTATTCTGTACGTATATCACGCTACCGTGACTAGTTTGTGTCTGGTCTAAACCCAACTCACACACCTTTCACTACAAGCAGAGACTCAGCTTGCAGTGCGTTGTTTGACAAGCTAAATGAAAGCACTGTTCTCTTCAGTTGCTTATCTGAAGTCTTTCTGCTGCCTTGTCATGTCATGGTACCCAATCGTGCAGGTAGATGATGAGGATGTAGAGTATTTTAAACTTGGTTTTGTCACTGTGTGCTCTGTGTGTTTGTGGTCACATACTAGTCTGTGTATGTGCCACATACACTTTGTCTGACTTTCTGCTTCTTTTAAATGGAAATATTCGATCTACTCCATTACAGTAATGTTTTTGTGCACTTTGACAAATATTTTAAAGACCATTGAAAATTCTTGGTTAAATAAATATTAGCTTTTATGATCAGTTTTCTGATTTTTTTTTCTAAGTTTTGCTGGTTCTGTGCTTTTACTGCAGTTGCGAACAGGCTCTCAGATAAGTTGTTGTAATAGTAGACAAACTGGCACAATTGACACCAATAAAATTGCACACAATTTATCCTGCCATACTGAATAACTGAAGTTGGATCTTGCTTTTTTTCTATTAAAAATTGTTCTTACATAAATGCGCAGGCAGGATTTCTCAGGAACCGATCATCATAGCTAATTAATTGTTTGGAAACTGGATGTCTAATTTCTCTGAGGTCTTGGTATTTATGATCTGAGAAGCTCTTCCCTGGGTCACTTAAAAGAAATAAAAGTTACCAAGGGTGAGCTTGAAAGCCTTCCAGCATATATCTTTGTACTTTCTCCCTTGCTGCTCCAGAAACTTTTGACAAAATCCCCAGAAGTTGTTGAAAAAGCTTACTGGGAAGTAAGTTACTGTCTTGTGGTTTTCATTTAAATTATTCTTAAATAATTATTAGCTGTGATTCCTGAAAACAAAAAAAGTAAACCAAACCAAACCCAAACAAACAAACAAACAAAAAACCCAACCAAAAACCCCAGAGAAATAGCTAATGAGCTCAGCCACTGCCAAACTTGCTGCCAACTACGGCTTCATGTTTTCCTCATATGCCTCTGTCTCCCAGTCTCCATTTTGTTCTGGGGCTGTCAGCACCAGTATTCTAAGCCCAGCGGTACTATTAGCATTGCATTTTATCTACTATCCATCATATTTCTCTGTATACTGCCATATATCATCAGCAACTTTAGTAGCACCAGCTAAAATTTTGCCAGATTTGTGGGTTTTTATGATCACTCAAATATGAGACTTATTTACAGAAGAAGTCTGAAGGCATACAATAAACGCTTACATGCTCAACTGCATTGGAGCTTTTCTTTCTCGTTTTGAAATGAAGTTCTGTGTAACCCTCTTCATTCTCCATCTCAAGGTCTTTTTGCCACTTCTTCCTGTTGAAGACTGCTCGTGAGTGTCAAAGTAGGTTATGGGAGATGGGTGTGATAAACAGGAAAGGGACAGCGGATGGCCATTTGTGCTTTTAGCTCAAGCCATGCAGTAGCAGCACTATGAAAAGGAACTTACCGCTATAGACTGCACAGCCAAAAGGAACAATTTTTCTCTTCTTTTTCACTTCCTCTGTCTTCCTCTGGCAAACTCCGGACCCTTCTAGCAAATACTTGTAATGCCACGTTTTCTCCAGTGCAGTCTCACAGTCCTCAAAGGCAGTCTTTCAATGCACACACGCTCTTGCATACAAGAAAATAGATCTGAGCCCCTCAAGCCCATTTCACTGGATTGATAGACTTCTCTGATTTACTTTATATTACAATCAGCTGTGTCAGCTTCTGTGTTTTTCTGAAATGCTAAGAATGGATCTTACTTTATGAAAAAAAAGATGGTGTGCATATGTCTCATTGAATAGATGAAAAGGGTATTTAAATATGGTATTGAACCTTGGTTCTGCTTTGTGCCTGTCCGCTTGAGCAACTGTTCATAGATTTGAGCAACTTAATGCCTTTCTTTAAGCGGAGACCAAAGCAGATCTGTTCAAACCTCAGTGTTTGCAATGTTCCTGTTGCACTTCAAAAGGACAAGCCTGGGGTTTTCGTATCAGCAAGGAGTTGTTTACTTTTAAGTTAGTGTGCAAGGTCTTTTCCAAGTTGGGGGTTCTAGCAAGCTCTTGGTGCTCTTTTAAGTGCTAGTCTGGAATATTTCTTTCTGTAAATTGAGGATTCAGTAGCAAGTTGAAAGGTTTGGGGTTTTTTCTTTTTCTCTGAAATGGGTATAATGGTTTCTGGCTGTTGTCAAATTCACCAGTTTTTAACCAAGGTTTTCTTTGGGTCAGGACTACATCCTGGCTTCACTTTTAATGTGTCCATGTAGTGTCTAGTGGTGATACATCACAGGAGACATAGACCATCATGTCATTAGCTGTAGGACGCAATTAAATACTTAGTGTCCTAAACACTTACCTCAGTTTGGAGGAATACAAAATCATCCGGAGCACTAGACAGAAATTATTCACTCATTTCTTAAACAAGACCTCACTGATTAGTAGGAATGGTCATTTAAGCTTGGAAACCAAAGGAACTTTACTCACCTTTTATATTGTCGTACCTGAAAGCCAGGCTCAAGCTGTATGCAGTACAATCATATACTGGGGAAAAAAGCGATCTCCAGAGAAGTCTTTCAAACACAGACATGCAACTTCAGGCCGAAAGATCAGTATAAAACAAAAGGTACTAAGTGACCAACAAATACATTCTCTGTTTCCACAAAGGGGTAGTACTTACCATGCAGCCTCACAATGCTAAATAACTCTCCTGTACCCCATGCAGACAAATTCTTGCAGGGTTACCAACTCTCTGAATCATTTTCTTGGAAGACGCTTGGAGGACAAAGTTTGAATATGGAGTTTATACCTGGTTATAAAACAGTCCTCGAATGATTTCCATGCTCCGAGCTATAGCTTTTACATTCAGCAGATGCAACAGCTGGTCTGAAAAAAAGATACAACAACTCCAAACAGGCCTTGCTTCATTTAACACACTTAGACTCTTCTGCGTTCGGCTGCACAGCATATATATGGGACTTACTGTAAAGTAAACAGAAACAACACAGAAACCAAAGGTTCTCAACTTGATATGTTTCTTTATAAGCCGCTTTTTTTTCCCCCCGTCATGGTTTCAGGGGCTGTGCTGTGATTTTTTAAATGCATGGCTTCAACTGCACTGGAATTACATACACATATCAGTCATTTTTTAATCCAAAGCTTTTTGGGAACTCATTTCTAACAGGAAGGTGGAGCTTCTAAAACCCAAAAACTTCTTCCACAAACAACATTTCATATTTACAGGGTCTAGATTCTAATTATTTTGTAAATCTCTATTTCCAAATCTGTGTTTGTGGAGGTACTACTGGTTTTAAACTAAAATAAAACCCAATATGAAATAACAAGAAACACAAGATGAATTTTCACAGTCTTCATCTGAAAAGAAAAGCGCAGAGGAGGTTTTCTGCCTTTTCATTTTTCATACGGCAAATTTCTGGAATAAGACTCTGTCACGAGTATTTGCCTATTAAGGTGGCAGACCCCTGCTTTCTTTATGCACACTCCCTTCCAAGCATCCAGACGTAGCTATATCATCTGGCTATGTAGAAATATATTCTCCCAAGCCCCTTGCTTCCAGTGTTTCAGGAAGGATAAAGGGAAGTATGGAGACTACAAAAAAGCTGCCCTGAGACCTCAAGGGCACCACCAGCCCTGCCTGTCCCTGTCCAAGCCCTCGGAGCTCCCCCCACTCTGCCCACAGCCCAGGACCCCACGTCAGCCCCCCAAGGATTCCCCCTGCCTGCCCAAGGCCCAGGACCCCATTTCAGCTGCCCAGGGCCACTGACACCATTGCAGGCCCAGTCTCCAGCTCCCCACAGCCCTGCCCTGCCCAACCATGGACTCCGCCAAGCTGGGCCCACTTGCAGGCCCACATCATGGCCCCAGAGAGATACCCCATGCCTGGGGTTGGGGCTGCCCCACTGCCCCCGACTGCCCTGCTCGGGGAGTAGTGGAGTCAGGAATAAAGCAGTCAAGTTGAGCCTGGGAAGAGGGAGCAGGAGGAAGGTGTTTTAATCTTTTTTACTCCGTTTCTCACTATCCAAATCTATTTTAATTTTCAATAAATTAAATTAACTTTCCCCAAGTGAAGTTTGTTTTGCCCATGATGGTAACTGGTGATCTCTCTGCCTTTATTGTGACTCACAAGCTTTTTCACCTTATTTTTCTTCCCCGTCCTATTGAGGGAATGAGAGAGCGGCTGGGGGGGCATCTGGCAGTCAGCCAAGGTCAACCCACCACAAGCATCTTACCAGTCTATTTTTTTTTCTTTTTTCTTTTTTTCTTGTATATTTGCTATGCTATGTAAAGCTCTAGTAAATCAAAGGTAGCAGATCCTATGATTGTCTCAGGGAGCTCTTAAAAAGATTAGCAAGACGCCACCCATTGGAATAACTACAAAAGTTGATTCCTAGGTGAATCAGCCTCCTGGATAGAAACAAACTAGTTTTAAAAAGTCATATAGCTGGTAAATACACTGTTTGAATAGTATAGTGTTCTATTTCACTTATACTAAATCTCCTTTACACTCTTAAATTAGTTTTTTAAAGTTTGGAGTAGAAGTGAAAATATATTCATGTATCTACACATAAAGATTGCAGAAAACCTGCCCAAGGAAAGGAAAAACAGTCTTTCAGGCTAAAAAGAATAACACACACACTCACACACACCCCTGCAAAAATTAATCAATTGATGCATCTATGCAGTACACATCCAATAATGACATAGCCAATTAACATGCATACTAAATCCTATGTAGCAGCCAAACATTAGTCTTTGAGCAGCCCTTCTTGTTACAATATTATCAAGGATCTGGGGTTTTGACATCACTCTACAAAGGATGGCATTATTATTAATTTTGTGTACTGCAGCAACGCTGTCCTGGAACAGTGAGTACCATACATGTGTAACAAGATGGTGTTTTTACCATATCAAAGCTTATTAGCTACTTCTACAAAAAGATATGCCAAAGAGATGGATAGAGAAGGAAAATGGAGGAGCACGGGGGACACAAGAAGGGTAAACCAATAATGCTGTGCGTGATGGCTGGTGATCTCATAGCAATATCTGCTAAGCTATTACTAGGGGTTTAGTTCCACACTAGCAGAGGGCAGCCTTGGAAAGTACCAGAGGAAAGCCAAGGAGTAAGATATTTACAGACAGTGTCTTCCGGCAGTGGCAGAGGCTCAAGGAAAAAACACAGAGCTGTTCATTAAATAAATCAGTAAGTTAAGTTAAGCTCAAAGCTGTTTGTAGGTTGGCAGTAGAACCTGATACCAGTGTTGCAGGGATGAAGGTAAGAGACAGTCACAAGCTTTGAAAGTGTAGATCACTGTCTCAACAGAAGGATGAAGCACGCAACTTGGCCCCAAACACCAAGGCAGGGGAGCAATCCAGGAAAATGTAGGTATGCTTATGTTTAAACACGAGTGTCCACATGGAATTTTTTGAGTATGTGTGTACTTGCGGTTGATGTGCATAGTATTTTACAAGATCACAAACCTAGTTCCTCTTATTTTTGCAAGCTCAGAGAACTGACTTTGTCTTTCTTTCATTCTGCCTCTTCTTTCTCAAACAGACTCCACACTTCACATTTTATTTCAGCAGAAAGGAAACTTCAAAGCCACTTACATGCATATATAAAATGCTATATCATTTCCTTTTCTTTTGTGAAGTCCAATATAGACTTCTAACTGAAAACAAGATCTTTTAAATTGAATTCTGGGAAAGGCAAACAAGCATCCTTTCTTGGCAACATGGTGTTTTGAATCCAAGTCAAAATGACTTGGGTTTTTTCTTTATTTTGGAAGGATATTTATATAGATACAGAGGTTGCTGGCAGAGCTAAACGAGGCAAGAAAGGCTATGAACAGCAAGAAGCCAACCTACAAAAAGGTAGGTGTTGAAATGAAGGAAAAGTAGAGGACTATAAATTCTATGAAGTTGAATATGAAAACATAACAAAGCGAAACAAGAAACACAAAAATAATGAAACCCTCCTTCTTCAAGAGCAGGAAACCTGTCAAAAGTTCTGTAAAGCAATAGACTTCAAGAGCAGGAAACCTGTCAAAAGTTCTGTAAAGCAATAGATGATCAGCTTATAGATATGGTCAAACAGTAGTATGGAAAAAAAAACACAGTGCTTTTTTTGCACGTGTGTTTACTGTGGAGGAACTTGGGGAGGGTTCCATAGTTTAATCCTCTTCATGGGCAACACATGAGAGGCTGTGCCTCAATTCAGAAGGTCAGTGCAAGAGGTTATGAAACAAACCGGCAAAATTAATAGGCCCAAATGGCTATGGTCAGATGCTATT